CGCCATCTGCGCTGTTGCGCGTAAACTACAAGATGGTACCATACGCCGCGCATTGTACGTTGGACCCGCGTGAAAAATTTTGCAAGCTGAGATGATGAGCGCTGCTCCAACAGAGATTAAGCAAGACGGCCTATCTCAGTCGCTCAGAGGGTGCACGCATTAGCATCCCACCGCGTGTAAGAACTGCCGTCGAATGCTTAAGCAGAAGGCGACACGCCGCCAGTCTTGAACGAGCCCGATAAGTTGCGAGAAAAGGGGGTGGCTCGAGCAGCAGCTGTGACCTTTGATTGTAATCAAGGGCATGGTTGAGATAGCTGGTGCGTGCGATATCGGCAAGCATATCGACAAGCATATCGAGCTGTCGATATCGCGCGATATCGACAGCTCATAAACCGTTCTATATGGTGCGCTCTCAACGGGAAGAAATTGTGCGATAAGAGCATTTCCTGGACGTACTTATTCTGTTACATCAGCGTTTTGTAGTTGTGAATAACGCAATGCCGGATCCAAAAGAGTTAGCTGCCAGCCTTGGTACTGTCACAGAGTTGTGAAGTCGACGAAGGCAGCAGTCGCTGTTTTGGGCTAACCTATGCCTGGAAAATGAAATGTCACTCTACAAGCAATACACGCTGTCTATTGATAGCAGAGAACATAGAGCGTCGGCCATCGATAATAAGGCCCCGCAGCAAAGTTCGGCAGCATTTATACATGTTCCATTGAAGATTCCAGTGTTATCGCAAGTGGCCACCTAAGTTCCAGAACAAACTGTAACCTTCAGGGTTCATAGCACCTAAGTGAAACAAAATTAAAGGGTTTTCAAGGGCCTTTAACACTTTCAGGACCAGCCCATAGGGCCATCGGTCGTATACGACCGATGGGTTTTAACACACTTTCAAACTAAATTTTTTGCGCGTTTTGACATGTAGCGCCATCTGCGTGGTATTTCTAACCCCACTCTTTCATTTTTCGAGTAGTATGCTTTCTTTCCGGGAGGTGGCAGTGGACAATCGCAGTTTCTCTTGGGTGCGATCGCGTCAGCTGATTGAGAGAATGGCGTCAAGTTCGCGACACGGCGCGCTTGAAAAACGGCCCGGATCTCGCGATTCCGCTGCTTCAACGGCTGATTTCGTTGATAATACGAGCAGCGAAGAGTCAGAAGACAACTTCGGAAGTTCGGATTTCAGTTCGGACAGCGAGTCGGAGTCGAGGACGATCAGCCTGGAAGTTCAACAAGTGGACCAAGGTTGGTTTCGCTTTCCTTTCAGCTTGCTCTTGAGCATGCTTGCACGGTCGTTAGACGTTCTTATTGTGTTATGTTGATTTGGCAGGGTTTCCACAACGTACGGCAATGACTTCCTGCCACCAGGGCAGCAGCTGATCGTCTTTGCGCCGCACCGAGCACCTGGTGTTTACATCACTGACTACAAAGGCGTGGCACTCAGGAGCAGACCAAGAAAATTTCTGACGGCCCTCGACTTCTTCGCTCTTTTTTTCACAACTCAAGTGATCACTATGCTATGTGAAAACTCGAACAAATACGGCTGGACGAAAATACTAGAAAAACCGACGCACGCTAGTCCCGATGGTTCGTGGGAAGAGGTGACCCCGGACGAGATGATGAAATTCATTGGCCTCATAATTTACATGGGTATTGTCAAGGTTCCACGCCTGAAGCTCTACTGGAACGTGGGTGAGCTCTACAGTGGCCTGCTCCCACGACCAATAATGCCCAGACGCCGCTTCATAGCGTTGCTCGCTATGCTCCATGTTGCCGACTTGGACGATGCGAGCCAGCTGAGAGGAAAACTCCGGTTCGTGTGGTGGCTCATGGAGCATGTGAATCAAGTGTCCGCGAACCTTTTTCAGCCAAATCGTGATCTCTCCGTGGGCGAACGAATGATGAAATCTAAAGGGCGATCGGGAACCAGGCAGTATATGAAAGATAAGGTCACAAAATGGGGCTATAAGCTCTGGGTCCTAGCTGATCCCGGCACCGGATACACGGTACGTTTCAGTGTCTATACCGGCAAGCGGGATGAGCCAGGACCTCATGGATTAGCATTTGATGTAGTTTGCCAGCTGTGCACCGAATATCTTGATCAGGGGTACCGAATATTTATGGATAACTTTTACACGTCGACGCATTTGTTCAGTCACCTGATTGACCGAAAAACATTGGCTTGCGGTACAACAAGAAAAGACTGGCGAGGATTTCCAGTTGAACTGAAAGATTCACGATGGGAAAAAAAAGCGTGACGTGGGGACGTAAGATGGCTCCGTGATCGCGGTATATTATACCTCCAGTGGAAGGACCGTCGTGTTGTCAACATGATGAGCACTATTCACACAACCAATATGACTGTCACAGCAAAAAGAAGGAAAAAAAGGGGAAATACTTGGGCTCAAATTTCTGTACCAAAGCCATTGCTTATACATGAATACAATGCTGGAATGCTAGGAGTAGATAAATCAGACCAGATGATTGGCTATTACAATGTCCTCATGAGAAGTGTTCGGTGGTGGAAGACGCTCTTCTTCCACTGCATTGATATTGCCTGTGTGAATAGTTTTTATTTTGTTTCAAGCACACCGCGCATCACACCCAGATATCCCCGAACTTGAAAGAAAATCTGAATACGACCACCTGGCATTCAGAGAAGAGCTCGTTCGTCAGATCTTCAACATTGATATTGCCAAGCCAGCACGCACTCCTCCTCCACCCTCCACTAAACGAACGCTCCACAAGCCCGAAAAGGCAGAAAGGCGCAGAAGCTGCAAGCTGTGCTATAACAGCAAGAAAGTTGAACTCAAAACTAATTGTTTTTGCAGAACTTGTGATGTTTACTTGTGTTTTATAACGACAAGAAATTGTTTCTTGCAGTGGCATGAGAGCCATCAGCTGTGACGGGCACACGAGTGCTCCGAGTGTGAAGCAGGCTGAGCAAAGGCAGTTGTAGATAGGCGGACCAAAGTTTTATTTTAGAGAAAGAAGACGTTTTGCCACTTTTTGTATATGTTGAAATTTTTTTAGTTCACAATTTTTACTTGTATATGCATGCCTTTTAAAACTTTTTTTATGTTTGTTTTTCGTGACACTTTCTATTTGACACTTTTTCATTATTATGTATAAACTTTTTCTGTGTAATATTTAGCATGCATCTAAAAGACCATTCATTTACCTTTGTTTTGATATATTCACTACCTTTGTTTTGATATATAATACATGAGTATATCTTGTTTATCTGACTTACTAAAAATATTTATCATAACACTCCTTGTGACTGTCTGATTTTCCCTGGTCCCAAAAGTGTTAAGGACCTAACAAATACTTTTCAAGGATCTAAAATAACACTCGAAACCACAGAAAATGACAACAGCACTTTTCACAGTATAAGAATTTGTACTTCATTTTATTTGTATGATCGGCACCATGAACGCACTCAAGTTACCATGGACTGTAGTTGCTTTCATGTTCTCAATGTGTTTCGTACTGTTCATGCAACTTTCAAAAGCATCAATGACACGTCGAAGCTCTTCCTACATGGGAAGACTTAAGACTTTGCCTGATGAGGGTTTAATGTATCCAGTGCAATCCACTCCCCATAACCAGCAATGCATGACCGAGACGGCAGGAATTTGCACTTGCCCGACATAGCTCCACCATTCGAAACGCGACTGCGGATATCTGCGAACACTTGCACAGTCTCCACAAAAAAGCCAGGCTTATCTCCGTCGCTGCTGTAACCACGCAAGCGCTACCACAACTACAGTGTACTAGAAGAGTACACTGCACTACAACACTGCACTATGGCTAGAGAAATGAATTACAATGCATGGTTTGTTGGCTTGAGAGCACATAGTTGCCAGGCAAGCAAAAAAAATCGACTAAATTATGGCTTCAGGAACTTCAATTGACGAAATTCAAGAACCTTTAAGAACCTCAAACAAATTTAAGGGTTTTCAAGGCCTTAAAAAAGGTCATTTCAAAATTCAAAGGTCTTCAAGGGTTTCAAGGACCGCTACGAACCCTGGCCTTGTGCGCGTAATCTCATCGGAGAGTTCTAAGATTATCTAGAGAGTCCCCAGTCATTCAGGCGCTGTTTGTGCAAGGCAGCGTTGCATGCGTAATGGTGAGGTAACAAAAATGGAAAGAAAGGAGCACGTGCGGCATCCCCATTACAAGGATACAAATTGTTGTTATCGCAGTCATCGCTACGCCAGTGACACAGATATTTTAAATTTTTTTTTTTCAGTTTATCACAAAAAGCTCACCGTACCTCTGCTGAGAAACCACCGTGCAAAGCAAGAGCTCAGCGTTTGCTCGGCAATGGTGCAGGGAGTTTTTTCCAACAGCAGTGCCGTCTTTATAGTTTGCCTAACAGCTTTGCTGTTAAAACATACATGAAAGTCACATAATAAGGTATGCGCACAAACGCCACCCTAACAAGAACCATGATTTGTGTTCATGTGGCGCAAGATTCATGCGCGATTCGAAATACGACATTTGATATTCTTGCGGAATTTTATACGGACGCAATTGCGTCCTTTGCGTAGGCCACACGTGTTGCTCGGTCGATAAAACGTTTGACTAAATTTGGCGTAGCACGCTCTAATTGCCATTTAGGCGCAGCTTGGCGGAGTAGGCCAGATAGGCACAGCATGGCGCAATCGGCGCAGCACTTCCACCCCTGATTAGGGGCAGAGGGTGTAGCCATGCCCTTGAACAGAAGGAATTAGCTGCAAGAGGGAGAGACTGCAGCATACTGCAACAACAGGGAGTACATTTTCTTCCACTTTTTGCAGACATGACTGAGTGGCGGCGTCTGGTTGCTCAGACAGACCTACTCTCAAGACGGCAACAGTGGAACCGCCACCTGTGAGAAGTGAACATATGCATTTTTGCATTCCTGCCTTGAGAATCACGCTGTCAGCTTATTAACAATGCAAGCCATCATAAAAATCCAACTTCCGTATTATGCATCATGCTCAGGCATGCTTACTCATCAGATGAAGAGGAAGGTGATTTTTGCTTTTTTCTAGAGCTGTTTCCGTGACGCCCTTTATCATCTCTGCGGTCCCAGTGATCCCGACTGTGCCTCGATCTTTCATCGTTCCTGCAATGCATGACATAAAGATAATGAATTCAGAAAGATCATTAAAGCAAACTGCCTGTGTTACAAATGAAAGAAAAATTCAATGTCTAAAAACAATAACATGTAACATATCTACAAAGGATTACTACTAGTTTAAATAAGAAAAATAATATACCTAATAAATTCAGTTTTTGCTTTGTGTAATTCATTATGTAAAATACAGTCAAAGTCATGTGTACTGAATCTGAAAGGGATCACATTAAAGCTCTATACATAGGTAATTCTATATATTATATATATATATATATATATATATATTTATATATAAATTGAAGTAGATTTTACAACTGTCAGATACACAGTAAATCACATTAATTCCACTCCATTTATTATAAAGCAAATGATTCAGACAAGCTTTTTGGTCCAGGCAAGCACACGTCCAATTGAAAAGCATAAAACACGTGTTAATTTGGTCCTATTTGGCTACAACGTGGTCACTTTGAACAATCCTCAGAAAGCGTAAGTACAAAGCGCCACAAATGTGCAATTCATAGGAAAGGAAACAGCATTCAAAACAACAGAAAACAGCAGTATACTTTCAGAAAGGTGTGGTTGCTATCCACAATCTTACAAAAAGCATGCTGTTGGTGATCAAGGCTGCAGCAAACTTGTTCAGTTTTAAATTTTACACGGCACACGCGAATTGAGTGCGTGTTATCTATAAAAATGTCGACAGCGACTACAGTCTAACCCGCTACAACGGCACTGACAAGGCGCGGCAAAAATTTCGTTGAAGAAAATTTCATTGTAGTGGAAACGAAAAAATATAGCTGATCTCAGCTAGCAAAACAAAGCAATGTTTATTCTCGAAATTCAAAAAGCGTCCACTGCTTCCTGTTTTTTCCCAGCAGCGTCACGATGCGATTTTCACCCATGCATAGCGAGGCCATGATGAAAAGCACGCTGAAACAAGGCCTATAATTGCTTTGGTGAACAAACCAAACAGCTGCATTAGCACGTTAGCACCAGCAGCTGTCCGCCGTCAAATTGTATCCTACAACGTCGAGATGGACGCAGGATATCATGGAGCGGTGACTTTTGCCTTATTCTATGCGATTCTTACAGCCACCACTTGAAGCTATCTGACTTCGTTCATAATGCAGACGAACAGCTGCTCTGATTAGTTACCACAATGGCCAAGCGCGAACGAAATTATACGCATTGGCATCGAAAAAGGCATCGTTCCACACAGCTGCGTGCACAGCTGCGTGAAAGAAAACCATGAGCTAAGCGACTTAGCTTCAGCTTCAGATTGTCTGCGGCACAAAAGCAAGCCAGTGGCAAAAGCAGGGCAGTCTCATTGCGCTCGCTATCGAGCAATGGGGGCACCCATGCTTGCTAAAGGGCGGTGGTTTCTGGTTATGCCAACGCGTGTTTTAGACTTTGTCGACATATTTCCAAGTTCTGAAAATGCATCAAAATGTTAAAGACTGTGTTTACTGTATAGCAATAAACACCTGAGCCCGGTATTGCATCGTGAAATTTCGTTGAAGGGGGATGGCAGAAGAAAAAGTGTTCGTTGTGGCAACATTTATGCATTGACTCCTATCGACTGCCGACGAAGAAGCGTGAATTTTTCGTTGTAGCGGAAATTTCGTTGAAGCGGCGTTCGTTGCAGCAAAGTTCGACTGTAGCGATCTAAGTGAAACAAGCAGCAGTTTCATTTCCACTGCATGCCTCAAGAACTGCGCAGTCATCATCCATGATTGTTAATTAGCGGGTGAGGTTTCTATAGCAGCAGATGTGGTGCTCATCAGTTTCGTTTTGACTCAGGATGGAAGACCCACGCAGGCTTCCAGAACTGTGTGGGCACTATAGTGTTTTTAGTAACCACAGTCAACCCCAGCAGATGCGGAACTCTGCAGCTTTGTTCTGGCTTTGAGCAATGTACGCCCATTGTGACAAAACTGAACATTGTGAAAGCTGTTGAAAATGAAGACCTTCAACTGCTTCAAGTGCGGTCCGCATGCTGATATAAAACTCACTTGCTACACTGTGATGGATGAACGGTCGTTTGCTGGCCATATTTATAGTCAAAGATCACATGCATATGGTAATGGTGGTGGTGGCAGTACAAAATAAGGCACAAGTTCAAAGCACATTTTGGCTAAAGACACATGGGTCTTGAACTGCAGTCACATCCCGGACGAAGTTGCACATGATAATGATAGTCAATTTTACACTACTCGTATGTAAAATAAATACTACTTGATTTGCAATTCATCAACCAAAAAGGAGAGCAGATTGATATAACAAACATTTGTTTATTGTTTTCCTTCAACCGAAAATGAGAGTAGATTGATATAACAAACATTTGTTCATTGTTTTCTTTATACTTTCGGTAATTCGGCAGTCGGATTGATATAACAAACATTTGTTCATTGTTTTCTTTATAATTTTGGTAATTCGGCATTCAGTTACATAGAAATACCGAGCAAGCACAACCCTTACGATGAAAAATAATTGGACAAGATTTGGAGGGGAACCAACCCTTCCTCGGTCGCAGAACCATATTCAAGATGGCGGCCGAAGACCCAGTAAGAATGCAAACCTGTGCTTCTAATGAAGTTATTTCTTGAATTATATTACCATTTTTACTTAACGAAAGGGAAGCCTTGTGGTAAATGTCGTGTTATGATAGAGGGGAAAGACAAGTGTTTCGACAATTTGTGACAGCTCCAAATGCAACCTCAATGCACCACACTGTAAATGTACAAAAATCATCCACATATCTGGAGACTCTCGAAACTTGGGTTCCTGGGAGCTCCTGCACCAGGATTTTGTAGTGGATAACAGGATGAAAAGAAATGGCACCAGGGGACGAGAGAAAGAAGGCTTGGCTGGACCATTGGCGCATATTTCAAATCTCCCAAAAAAAAAGGATGGGTGGGGGGCACTTGCTTAAGATTTTGAGGTAAGTCAGAGATTTTTTTTAGTCCTGTGAAATCCAGTCAACGAACTGTACACAGCTTTTTTCATGTGTGTGTAATATATATACAGACGAATCTCGTTAATTCAAACTCAAAGGGGCCCAAAAATTTGTTTAATATAATGAAAGCTAAGTAAACAGAGGGCTCCCCATGCAGTGGCGCATGTGCATTGAGCTAACACACGAGGGGGAAGGTTCAGAAAACTTACATTTATTCACAAATCCCAGGACATTCATAATTATTTGAAGTAATCAGTGATGTGCGTCTGCACACATTTGCCTTTCAATCAGTCAATTTCGCGTGCAGCTTGCAAAGCATGTCTACTTCGGCTTCAGCATTCTCCTGGCCAGAGAAGGTGTGCGCGACTATGTCCAGCGCCTACACTCTCTGAAGACGACGCCTGTATCTCCGCTACTTCCCTCTGCGCCAAAGCCGCAGCATGGCCAGCGCGTGACGAGAAAGGAGGGGCGTCTCCACGCAGAGAGAAGCAGATCGGCGTTTGAGAAAAAACCAACACTCCACACTTTGCGGCAATTTTTTTTTTTTTTTTTTGCTCTCTTCGCGCGCGTTGTTAAAAGGAGAAGGGTACGTGGCAGGGACTGGAAAGGCGAAAGCGTGGCACCGGCGCGTGAAAGAGAGCCACACTCCCCAACAGTTTTTTTCTTCTTCTTTTTGCGCGCAGCGTTGGAAGGAGAAGGGTCTTTACACAGCAGGGGCGGAAAAGGGAAAAGCGTGGCACAGGTGCGTCGCAGACCAGCATTTGAGAGAGAGCAAACATTCCACCGCAGCCTTTTCTTTCCTTTTCCTTCACGCGCAGCGTTGAGGTGTAGGGGGTGCCGCCGCGGGATTGGGCAGGGTGCTGAGAGCATTTTCGGAGCGCAGTATGTTCGAATTAACTGTCGCAAGTGCTTGCGCGTTCGAATTACTGGGCGTTTTCACCCATTGGAATACACATAACTTTTATAGGACCTCATCGCGAGTTCAAATTAACCGGAAGTTCGAATTAAGCGTGTTCAAATTAATGAGATTCGACTGTGTAAATGGGTTTGACAGTATAGCCTCCTGCCTGGCTAAATTTCTCTTAAATGCTCACATATAACTACTAATCAGCACTTGTATTTCAAAATGGTGACAATAATTACTAATCATACCAATTTAACCACAGCAGTAACAAATATACTTCATGTTACTTACATCTAAAGCTTTATTGAGTGAAGGATGACATATATACAGTGAGCATGAAAAGACAGCACGAGCTCATTGGCAAAAGATGGTCACATAAACACTTCAATCACTGGGCGACAATCTACCTTCTAGATACTGCAATTCGCAGTCAGTAAGCTGCGACGACGGACCACTGCTCCATCTGAGTCTTCGACCTGCATGTGCGTGCGTGCTGTCTTCCACTTTTTCTGTGTTAGAACTACTTGGTATCAGAAAAACTTATTTTTAAGTTGATGAGAGGCAGTAGGCTTCTTTTAAGATTATTTTGTTAATGTCCAGCAATCCCATATAGCTGATAAAATTTTACAAAATGTTTCTCAGTGAAAGGTCACTGTGAACTTATTCTTCAGGGCGTTACAATCACCTTATTTCTACGCATCATGTTATATTGGTGCGCAACTGCACATTTCCGTTGATGCTTACATTACAGCACAAGGGTATAACACATAGTAGGACTATGTTTGGTAGCTTTACGGCATCTCTCTACATATTTCTGAAGAAAACACCAGCTGGAGCAGTCGGCTGGGCGCTCTAGACAAGTCTGATTCCATCTGTACGTGCATCAGTGTGCAAGAAATGTTTCAGGGGTCTCTAGTCACACTAGTCACGACTATCGAACACCGCGCGTACAGCAAGTTTTTGCGAGTGTGCAGACCTTGAAAATGGCAACCGCACCGCTAGAGCTTCTCACGGCGTCAAGCCATATTATTTGGTACAACAATACAATTTGTTGATATCGCATTCATTGCTAAGAGCGTAAGTGAAACTAAGAAATAGTATCTTTTAGATTCAATATCGCGTAACTCA